AGATTATTCGATATTAACATTTATTCTATGTGCTTTGTATTCTCATATCAAATACAACACAACAATATATCAAATTTTGATTTTAATTCCATTGTCCATAATATATAAACAAATTTATACTTCGTCCCTTCGGGGACATCCGATAAAATAAACAAATTTATACTTCACCAAATCTTATAACAGGCACTTGCGTTTTTACTGCTGTTGTTTAAAAATAGAAAAATGTAGGCCACCGGCGATGAGATCCAAATATCCTTCTTGTTCTTGTCTTTATCTGCACGTGCCACAAATTAAAAAATATCCAACAGAAGCAAGATGTGTCTGAACACCTCTCACCCGCTCGCATGGCGAATCTTCTAGTCTCTAGAATAGAACACCACTTTACCTCGTTTATCCAAAACTTAAACAAAAAACCCCTAATACGCCGTCGTTTCACCAAATGCTGATGAAAAGTCGCCACTTGTTGTCTTCTTCCTCAATCCTCCACCGCTTCACTTCTCGCAGCATCACAACTCTGTCTCTGTCTTCTCTACCCAGAAGAAGAATCATCGTCCGTACAAATCGTGCTTCGTTCCAGATTCTCTCGAGACCGGTTTCCTCAGGGAAGGTCTTGGCCATGGCGTCGACCTCGTCAACATCTCCGAAACATACAAATCGTTTAGCCGCAGAGCACAGTCCTTATCTTCTTCAGCATGCTCATAATCCGGTACTTATATTCTCCCTCGTTATAGTGATCAGACAAGTCCCATAGGCTAAAAAGAACACTTTTTGTTTATCAATTAGGTAGCTTCGTTGCAAGTAGTTTAGCCATAACCGGTTTAGATTGTAGACATTAGCTTCATTAACCGGTTTTTAGCTCTAAAGGATCGAACTTACATTGTTTTTCTCCTGAATTGATCGTAATTTGAATTCAAATTGATTTCAGAAAGCCTTTGTTTTCTATTAAGGAGTTTCGAAAACCGGTTTAGATGGTAGGCATAGCTTCAATAACCGGTTCTTAGCTTAAACTATCGATTTTTTTTTTAGTTTCTTCTTGGCTTGATCATGATTTGAACTGGATGTGATTAAATGGTTCATGTGACAAAGGTTGATTGGTATCCATGGGGAGAAGAAGCTTTTGAAGAAGCAAAAAAGAGAGACGTCCCCATCTTCTTATCAAGTTGTTTTCTTTTGTCTCTTATTTATCGTTTTAATTTCTGCCTGATTATTCAGTTTATGATACTAATTGATTCCCTTTTGTTTTCAAAAATTTGTTTTTGTATGTAATCTTGAAGTTGGATACAGTACCTGTCACTGGTGAGCATTCAATTTTTTTTTTTTTTTGGGGATTTTGAGGTTTAGTTCTTCTTTAGCTGAACTGAAGAAGTAGGAGAATGAATGGAAATATTAGAATGATTCTGGATTTGTTAGTATAATCCTAATGAAAGACTTTAAGAATTTGTAAAAGGAAAGGAATTGTAGTCTGAGAGATCATAATCTTGTTTTGGGGTGCCATGAGTAGAGAAGCAGAGCAAGAATGATCTTCTTTCCTGTTTTGGAATGTGTGATTCAGAACCAGTTTACTCTTTTTCAGGTGCCATGTGATGGAAGTTGAGTCATTTGAAAGTGAAGAAGTGGCAAAACTCTTGAACGACTCATTCGTTAGTATCAAGGTTAGAGAGTTCAAGGCCGAAGAATTTCCATTTGGCTGTGTATGAAAAATTTTTATCTGGTTGCTATCCAGATAATTGCTAACAGCTTGTTTAAACATGTCTGTGCAACAGGTGGATCGAGAAGAGCGGCCTGATGTCGATAAGGTAAATTACTGACTGCATGCTCTGAACTTATCGAAAAAGTAGTGATTACGTTCATAGACTTGACTTATAATTCTTTTGACTGGAATTTGTAGGTTTATATGTCATTCGTCCAGGCTCTGTACGGTGGAGGAGGGTGGCCACTCTCAGTCTTCCTTTCACCTGATTTGAAGCCACTAATGGGTGGAACCTACTTTCCTCCAAATGACAATTACGGAAGACCAGGATTCAAAACTCTCCTTAAGTACATAAACTACCCATTCTCTCTCTTAGTACACTCTAGCATTCTCTGCTCAAAAAGGGTCCTTAGTGATTCAACTACATTCTCAATATTTTCTTTGACTTTGGTCCAGGAAGGTGAAAGACGCGTGGGACACTAAGAGGGATGTACTTGTGAAGAGTGGTACTTACGCTATTGAAGAACTCTCAAAAGCTTTATCTGCAACTGCCGGAAACGATAAATTGCCAGATGGGCTTTCCCGGACGGCTGTGACTATATGTGCAAAACAAGTATGGTTCCACTCTTGTTTGTGATTGATATCATTAACATGAAGAACCCTTCTAACATGAAATCTTTGTGTGTTTTCAAAGCTTTCTCGGAGCTATGACTCGAGATACGGTGGATTTGGATCCGCGCCGAAGTTCCCAAGGCCAGTTGAGATCCAGCTGATGCTTTATCACTCGAAAAAGCTCAAGGAAGCTGGAAAAACGAGTGAGGCTGATGAGGACCAAAGTATGGTTTTATTCAGCTTGCAAGGCATGGCTAATGGAGGTATGCATGATCACGTTGGAGGCGGGTTCCATAGGTACAGCGTCGATGAATGTTGGCATGGTGAGACTTTCAAATAGTATGCAAATACAGATTAAGAGTATCTAAACTTAATGCATTTTGTTATATATATTTCTGGTGCAGTTCCACATTTTGAGAAGATGTTGTATGATCAAGGGCAGCTAGCTAATGTCTACCTAGATGGTTTTATCATTACCAAGGATGTGATGTATTCTTATGTGGCGAGAGACATCCTTGATTATCTGAGAAGAGACATGATTGCACCTGAAGGTGGAATATTCTCTGCGGAAGATGCTGATAGCTTTGAGTTCGAAGGCGCAAAGAGAAAGAAAGAAGGGGCTTTCTATATATGGACCAACGATGAGGTTCTTCTCTCTGATATACTCATCTGTTGAATTGAGTTGTCTTCTGTGTACTGACATTTTGTGTGTTTGGTATCAAGATTGATGAAGTTCTAGGGGAGAATGCAGATCTTTTCAAGGAGCATTACTATGTTAAGAAGTCTGGTAACTGCGACCTCTCAAGCAAGAGTGATCCGCACAGTGAGTTTGCTGGCAAGAATGTGCTGATCGAAAGGAATGAACTCTCTGCAATGGCGTCAAAGTTTAGCCTCTCCGTTGAGAAGTATCAGGAGATTTTAGGTGAATGCAGAAGAAAGCTTTTTGATGTCAGACTTAAGCGACCTAAGCCACATTTAGATGATAAGGTAAAAAGACTCTTTTATTGCCTTCTTCAGTTTTGTTAAGTACTTAAGACTTGTTGTTTCTTAGGTAATCGTGTCGTGGAACGGTCTTGTTATCTCGGCTTTGGCAAGAGCTTCGAAGATTCTTAAGGCTGAGCCTGAAGGCACCAAGTACTGTTTCCCTGTGGTGAATAGTCAGGTAATGGATGCTTTCTTACTAATGCTCGTTTTATTCTCTTCTTTGATTGTTGATTTCTTATTCCACTTACAGCCGGAAGAGTACATAGACGTCGCAGAGAAAGCAGCTTTGTTTATAAGAAGGAATCTCTATGATGAGCAATCACACAGGTTACAACACAGTTACAGACAAGGACCATCCAAAGCTCCTGCGTTTCTAGATGATTATGCTTTCTTGATCTCTGGTTTGCTTGATATTTACGAGAATGGAGGTGGGATGAACTGGCTTAAATGGGCCATTGAACTTCAAGAGACACAAGTAAGTTTAGATCTTTGGTATTATATCAGTTTCTCTCCACTGTATATGTTCTTGGCTTTAAAAGTGAAAGACATTTTTTCAGGATGAGTTATATCTGGACCGAGAAGGAGGAGCCTACTTCAACACAGAAGGACAAGACCCATCTGTTCTCCTCCGTGTCAAAGAGGATCATGATGGTGCAGAGCCTTCAGGGAACTCTGTTTCTGCTATTAACCTTGTGAGATTAGCTTCCATAGTTGCTGGAGAAAAGGCTAACTCCTACTTAACCACAGCACAACGTCTCTTGGTAAAGAAACAAACTCAATCTGCAGTTCATTTGAGTTTTTTTTTATTTTTTATTAAAGATTAATGTCTCTTTGTTGTTGTTTTTGCAGGCAGTGTTCGAGTTGAGGTTGAAAGAATTGGCTGTGGCAGTGCCGTTGATGTGCTGTGCAGCTGATATGATCTCTGTCCCGTCGAGGAAACAAGTTGTGTTGGTTGGTTCTAAATCTTCTGAAGAGCTCAACAACATGCTTTGTGCAGCACACTCGGTTTATGATCCTAATAAAACGGTAAAGAGGCTTTTAAATTTGATTCCGAGTTCTCAGAGACCACAAGGAGCATTAAGTTTTCTTTTTTGGTGAGCAGGTGATTCACATAGATCCTTGGAGTTCTGATGAGATGGAGTTTTGGGAAGAGTGTAACAGTAACGTAGCTGAGATGGCGAAGAGAAACAGAAACTCTGAGAAAGTGGTGGCTCTTGTTTGTCAACACTTCACTTGTAGTCCTCCTGTCTTTGACTCTTCTTCTCTCACTCGCTTACTGTCCAAGTAAAAAGAGATTCTATGTTTACTTGTGTTGTGAGGAACAAGATCAAGATCAACGTTTTTGTTGATAAATAAAGATGATATATACACATAAATCATATGGTAGAAGTTTATTTTTTTGGTTGAACAAAAAACGAGACAGAATTTTCCTGAATGAACCGTGTATAATTGGTATATTGTGGTTGAACACAAAAAACGAGATTGAGTTTACTAAAAAAACTATTTTGTGTATGTTGTGTTTACACATCTCTTAGTTATGAACACCTTTGGGTTCCAAAGGTTTTAATAGAATATGAAACTTATAAATCAATTCAACCAAAGCTAGAGTTTATTGACGGTTAAAAAAAGTATAAATAAATAAACCATTGACAAAAAGCAGAAGAAAAACAATTCAAAAGAAAACATCTTGATATAAAAAAGCATACATCAAGATTCAAACGAGATTTGCTGCATCACGTCGAGCTTTCAAATTGCGTTCAAAATCTCTTTGAGCATCACGTCGAGCTTTCAAATTGCGTTCAAAATCGCTTTGAGCATCACGTCGAGCTTTCAAATTGCGTTCAAAATCGCTTTGAATAGCTGCACAGCAGCATGAACCTACATGGTAGATGAAGGTAATTCCAAACCAGACAAGAATTGGTATGCACGTTCTCATGGCTAGGACCGGAGAAATTAGACGAAGTAGCAAGAATATTGAAGTAACACCAAACACATGACTCAAACTTCCGTAAACTAAAGCTTCAGGCCAGTCATTTACGCACGCAAGCTGGAACACAAATGACAAAATTTCGGCCGCTATTAGGGCTGATACCGTGGAAAAGTAGTAGTTATTTTTCCGGAGATGAAAAAATAACGGTACAACTGTGCCAACGATGACAACATGCATGACGATGTTATAAATCACCGAATCGACGCTGGTAATACCACACATACAAAATATTAAAATTGTTAGATAAACACATGTATAATTTGTTAGAAAGAACTCTATATTTTGGAAACCAATTGAAACATGTTTGAACTCACAAGCATAGGCTGCATAGAGGAGCGGTGGATGTGTCGTCGATGGAAATATTCTTAACCTCGGTTAGTTTCTTATCTGGAAGCCTGTTACTTGCCATAGCTTCTCTCTTTGATAAGTTTTTTAAAATCGAATTTGCTTTGGGATTGACAATAAAGAGAGAGGAATACACAGCTATATATATAAAAATCTACTTTATCTTACATTAAAGATTAAATTAGTTTTTAAATTTGATTAACGATTTACTCATTATTTACGAGAAACATGTTTACTTATTTATCTCTACTCAGATTTTAAATCGATGATATTATATTTTATTGTTATTTATCTTATTATATGAAATTTGATTTTTCAAAGTTGCTAGTTAACATGATATGATATGTATGATATGTGTCAATAAAAAAATTTAAGATTGTGACATGTGTAAAATTATCTTATAATTAAAAATATATAACTAAGATAATAACAAAACAAATTTTGTTTAAAAGACATTATAAATATTATTTAATAGTTATTTCTAATAATTTTTCACTAGGTGTTTTGCCCGCCATGCGGGCTTAAGCCTTTTATAATTATTTGTTAGTAAATATATTAATAATAAAAAATTAGAAGCATAAATTATTATTTGTGTTTTCATTTTGAAATTTTATATTTATCTTAAAAATTATTCAATATTATCTTTTCAATTATATAAAATTAAGAATTTTAATTAATTAATATGTAATTATTTATTTTCTGCTTTTGAATTTTTAAATATTTTATCAAAAGATAGTTTTCTGATAATAATACAATATATATAGGAATTATCTTTAAAAATAAAATATATTTTTAGATTTTGGATAACTCTTATTGTTATTATTTAAAATAACTTATTTAATTAAATAAATTTAAATTCGTTTTTATATTTAATTAATTCATATAGTTTATTCATTAAGGGTATAAACGATATTAACCGCTCTAACTTTTAACGTGGAAGCTCCGTTGCGAAAAATCACTTCGCAAATAATAGTATAGATAGATTAAAATCGTTGTAATCCCTTTTTGCATTGTTTTTAGGTTATCTACTCTATTAAAATAGAGTCCTTCTTTTTATCTACTGATACAAGTTGTCATTTAAATTTGGACCCTTTCTAGAATGTTACAAATAATATAAGTCATATAATTGATTGAACCGTATTACTTAAATTAAACCAACACAATTAATATAAAGAGACGACCTTAATGTAAACTACATTCAAAATACGGCAGGTATCTATGTGTATACCAAAAACACATATTTTCTCCTACAAATATGGAATATTATAAAAGAATATATATCATCAAAATATGGAATATAGAAATCTACTAATTATACTTAAATTATACCAGTGGTTATTTATGGAATATAGTCTTGGGCTTACTTTTATTTTTTGAACAAATTATATAGTTTGGTTTTTTGGCTTAGTATTAAAAAAAAACTCTAAAAACATTGAATAAACTTTTCACCTTAAAAGATCAAAAAATCAATTATTATTTTCAGACCCCAAAGGTATTTATTTTTTTTAACAAAACAAAATTATCTATTATTAATCATTTATTTAAATCATGTACTTTAAAACATGTTAATATATTTTTTTATTTTAAATAAAAATCACTTTGTTTTGATCAATTTTAATGGTAACTTTTAAATAATTTATTGTTTTATTTTTCTTAAATAATTTACTGATTAAAAAAATGTAAAGCAAAACCAAAAACCAAATCTAAAAACTAAAATCCAAAACCAAAAGCTGAAAACACATGTTATATTTTTTTTGCTTTGTTTATTTACAAAATAAACTATTTCAAATTTTTTAAAAAAAATTTGTTATCATCTTTTCAGTTTTAAATTAGATGTTCGATTATTTGAGATTTGTTTGTTGGTAATATTAGTTCAAACTAACTCAGCGGGTTTAAAAATTAAAAAACCCAAACCAAAAACTGAAAATGAAAAGTAGAAACTTAAAAACTAAAAACCAAAAAATAAAATCTAAAAATAAAAACTGAAACTAAAAACTAATGAAAAACAATCATCACCACAAATTTTGGTGAACTGATTTTATATCAAAATATTCTTTAAATTAAGACAAAACTCAATTATATAAAATTTTAATCATAAAAAATTTCCACGCTTTCAAGCGCGGGTCAAAATCTAGTACATTATTATTTCTGACTTTTCATTTGTTAAATGTGCACATCGATGTAATGTTAGCAATTTTCATATAGTTGTAGTCTTCGTGATATGTAATTTTGATTAATATTTTATCGGTTATACTTTTGTCTTGTCACGTATTGATTATTTACATTCTCGGTAATGGAATTAAAAAAAACATTTCTTAGTTAAGTTCATAAAGAACTTTGATAAGCATATAACCAATGGTAGTTGGATATGGAGAAGTCTTTATGATGCAAATCATTGTATTGTTGTCTTACACCCATGTGGAAGTAGTGTCGAAGAATTATTTTTAAAGTTGTAGAGGGTGCATTTTTGATTAAATATATACCAATTTGGTGGTTCGTAAGTTGCAGTAAACTTACTCTCTGCAGCTAACATATCAAATTATGTACCAAGTGTTATTAACTGAAAATATTTCTTCCAAGGTAGTACTATAACTGATATTGATTTCAGTAGAAGAATATCCAGAGAAAAGATAAAAGAAGAATCGTAGTATAGAAACAATACTATATACAAAAACGCAGACCACATTTATGCTTTTTATATATTAGTAAATATGATAGACCCTACTTGCTGCTAAGGCTCTTTATATTTAGACAAAGGTAGTTTATGTTTCCAGTTTAGGAGAAGGCTACACATCAAATATAGCTTCTAGTTCATCAAAGCACAGCAGATCTCTGTTTTGTATTCACCCTCTTTTGACCATCTATATCTCAGTAGCCGTACAAATGCAGCAGCTACACATCTATTTCTCTCTGCAAGAGTTCATGCCTGTCATGTTTAACGTTTTTAAGGATGATGCAATCGTGAGTCAGCCTTCATACTTTGAAAAGGAAGAAGATTAGATGACATAGGGAAAGAAATATTTACCTGAGACTTCTTCATGTACAATAGAGTAAGAATCGAGATCTGTATGTGTTCTGTTTTGACTGATCTTAAACCACAAATATAAAAACTATTACAGTGCATCAAGAAAAAAATCTGTTGCAAAAGTATTCTTGTAAAAAATAGAATTGCAAGTGCCTCACTTTTAGAAAAAGAGGTAGATTCTGCATCAGATTCCTTGTCAAAAAACACGTGTTCCCGAGGTGTCATTCAAGAACAAACGTCCTGCAGAAAATTACATGTGTGTTTTAAACATATTAGGCCCCTCACACGTAAACACTGAATTTTAAAATTAGTACAAGTGATAGTATGCATGTGTTTTCAATTCCAGACGGAAATATACCTCCTACCATCTTGGGTTTATGCTACTTGCAACAACAATCCTTGGATCTCCCCGGAAACCTTCAAGTTTCTTGTGAAAAGAGACAGCTTGTGAGTCAAACAAACTCAAAGTGACAAAGATATGTGTGTGAAAAGGAAGCTCGGATCATAAAATGGTCAATATATATTCAAAACGAAAGTTAGATAACTTATAAATTTTTTGAATAGATTAAAATATAGAAAATAGTTACATGTCAATCTTGATAGTTACCATAACTCGCTCTTTTACATGAGGAATGACACTCACTATACTTCTCACAGCAGTGAGCTCACCAATAAAATCTGAGAGATTAAGAACATCTTAATTAATTATCTGTTTCAATGATAAGTCTGTCATAAACAGTCTTTAAGAAGCTGTACCTAGGCCAAGAAAGTTGCAGCAGTTGGATTCAAGAAGTGAGAGTAATATACTTTCCCATGCCAAACTTCACTGAGGTAAGGCTGACCATATCGTTTAATGAACACATATACTTCCATTCCTCTGTTATATGTCTCGTAAGAGGAGCTATTCACACCAAGCAAGACCAGTTTTCTATCTCTTGAATCAATTTGCAAGAGACTCTAAGAGATTAGTATTAGTTTATACCTGGAACCAAGAACAGTACGTATTTCTGACCATTCTTGTGAAAGTGTATTTACGAATGATTTCATCTTGTCCTCAGGGAAGTTCACGGGGGTCAAAAGTGAAGTCTTTGAAGCCGTCCATGTAATCAATGTCTGTCCACTTAACCTCAAGAGGTATTCCAGCTTTTGCATATCCATCAACCACAGATTCAAGGTCTGAAACATTGTTGCATCCATACCTACACTGATGAAATCCTACACCAAAAATATATCCCAAATAAAGTAACTATACAAACATTTTCAAAGCAAAACAACATCTCATCTGCAAGGTTAATGGAGCAACATGTATCATTTTCTAGTGACTACGAAGAGTTCTTGGTCTGTCCAAACTATGTAATTAAATTATTTTGGAGATCAAATCTCTCGCAACGAAGCTTGAACCTGTGACCTCAGATCCCTACCATTGGATATCATCCAAAGTGAAAATGTACAAAGAGAAAAGAGCTCTTACCAAATGACCAGTAAGGCATAGGTGCAGGTCTTCCAATAAACTATGTATACTGATTCATCGACATCTCCAGTGAAGGTCCAATGAACACGTAAAGATCGATGATACCACCAATCACATTATAAGTGATCCTACTTCCATCATACCTCACGTCCATTCCATTACTGTTCAGCAACAGAACACCGTGAGTAATCCCTGCTTCATCGTGACTGTTAAATCCTCTCACATCCATGTAAAATGGGTGCGATTGATAGAGGCTAACATCCGGATTCTCGCTGCCGATGTCAGTGTTCCACAGAGTCATCGCATCGCCCGGGATCAGCTTGAACGATCGCTTCGTATGCTCCCGGAGACCGTACAGATTCGATCAGGATTCCGGTAAGGCAGAAGTTAGTTGGAGGAAATGGTCTTTGAAGTCAAAGTAAGTGTTTGGATCTGATGGATCCGGCGACGCGTCGAAGAGGATGTCGTCAGAAGAGCGTCTAGAGACGGAGAAACCAAAAAGCGTCGTGTTGTGGAGTGTGAATAGTAAGTCGGATCTGTGTTTTGGTCAGACCAAGAAAAGTGGATCACCCATCAATTGTTTCTTCGATTGAGGCGGAGAAAACATGGGAGATACTACAACTGAAAGATATTTTGGGGTAAAGGCTATCCTACGTGGACTTATCTAGCTGGCATCCTATGTGGCACTCTAAAATAGGAGTGATGCTTTACTTTATATAATAGATATTCCTTACCCAATCCTGTCTTAATAGCTTTAATAATCAGTTTGATAAAAAAAAAAATCAATATTATTTAGCTGAATATTGTTAAAATATTATTTTTTCAAACTTGGTCAACATATCAATTAACACCACACTAAATCAATATTATTCAGCTGAAGAGCTCAACAACATGCTTTGTGCATCACACTCGGTTTATGATCCTAAAAAAACAGTATAAGGCTTTAATTGATTCAGAGTTTTCAGACCAACGGGCATTAAGTTTTTTTGGTGAGCAGGTGATTCAAATAGATCCTTGGAATTCTGATGAGATGGAGTTTTGGGAAGAGTACAACAGTAATGTAGCTGAGATGGCGAAAAGAAACATAAACTCTAAGAAAGTGGTGGCTTCCTTTCGCCAGCACTTCACTTGTAGCCCTCCTTTCTTTGACTCATTTTCTCTCAATCACATACTTTCCAAGTAGAAAAGAGACTCCATGTTTAAAGGTTGCTTGTGTTGTAAGGAACAACATCAATGTTTATGTTGATAAATAGGGAGCTAATTTTATATGCTCTTAATGTGGTAAAAAGTATTGTGGCATACTCTTACGAATTCTGGTGTATTCTTGTCTATTTAGATACTTTTCTCAAGACTGGTCAAAATCGAAAGTGCCCCTCTTTACATAACCAATCAAAAGCAAGCACCCTTCCAGTCTCTCTATTATTATTTTATTGTTTTTCTCTCCTCCGTATGTCGTTACTTTCCTGGCTTTAGCGAGAGAGCTCTTCTGAAATCAAATGAAATTGGCGATTCGATTGCGAAGAAAATTGCAGCTCGCTTGGAAGGTGGATCATTGAGCAATTCCCAGGGTTTCCCGACCCGATAAACTTCAACTTCAGCTTCAGGTAAAACATTATCTTGGTCTGTATCTTATAATCCTATCAAAGAGGAAATAAATGCTTGTTCGGTTAATTAGACAGTAGATTTCACATTTGGGTTCTCAACTAGGAGAGAATGGGAAAGTGTGGGAGTTTGATGGTGTGTTTGTTATGGAATTCGATAATGTGAAACTGGTAGACTAGAAAAGTGTAAGTAGGTGAAACTTTACTCGAGACAAAAATATGTAACAATATATAACTTAGTATAACTTCAATAGCAAAATTGTATAACTAGGATTAACTTTAAAAGGAATTTTTTTTGTACAACATTAATGGGTTATTCTTTTACAAACATACACTTTGACTATGATGGACATTATGAGAAATCTCAAGATGATTTTGAATAGATTCCAAGCGGTGGTCGTTTGTATGCTATACTCTTTAAGACATCATCATTGGATGAGATCACTTATAGTTTTTGAATGAGAGGATATGCAAGAAGAAGAGCATAGATCCGTGTACAAAGAAGCTGAATCTGAGTTACATTCCACTGGTAGTAGAACCTAAGAGGCAATCATGTATTTTGGATGATGAAGATGTGTTTGTGTATCTGACATCAGTGGATAAAGAGGGAAGAAGACGTATTTTTCATGTAAAGGTCATCGAAGAAATGGAAATAGTTCCAGTAACAGAGCAACAATCATGAGTTGAGAAAGAAAGTTCATATGGTGTGAACTATAGTGAGCTTGCGAGTGGATTACCCGAAGTTGAAATTAATCCGAGCGCAGTCACTCTATTTACTCACATTGAAGAAGCAGAAGTATATCTAGCGGGTGCTGAACAGGTGGAGAACGTTGTTAACTGAGAAGGCGACAAAGGTGGCATTGGTTTGGATAACATGGACAACGTGGAAAATGAAGGCGACGTGGATAACTCTAATGGTCTTCGTCCAATTTTTGACTATGTTGAGCTGCCACATGTTGCAAAAGAAATTCCAGTGGTTGCTGAGTGGGGAGATGGTTTGGGTTTTGAGTTGTTTCAGGAATTCCCGTGTAAAGAATCTGTCAAAGATATTATTCGTAGAGCATCACAGTAGAACTCTTTCGGAATCAGTATCTCCAACTCTCGGATAAAAGTCGATATGTGGTGAAATGTTGGGGAGCAGCCGAGGGTTGTAAATGGGGGTGTGAGAGCTAAAAAGATAAAAAAATTCTGAAGTTCGCGATGAGAAATACATAAAGATGCATTCATGCTCTCGGAACGTCGAGTACTGGAACGAATAGGAAACTTACACCAAAATGTGTTACAGCTATAGTGCATAAGGATTATTTAGGACTATTTGAGACACCAACTGCGAAAACCATGTCGGTCTGGTGCAAAGGACATTAGGTATGGAAGTGTCATATGCGACATGTTGGAGAGGGAAACAACAAACTGTTGCGGATTTGCGTGGTAGTCCCGAGGAAGGATAGAAGAGTATCCGATGTCTGAACATGGGTAATTTATCTGGCATCTATCACACAATGTGAAAGGGCATGTCAAACAATGCAGGGACGAGGTTGCAGAACAATTCAGGAAAGTTGCACAAGTTTATCAAGAGTTTAGGGAGAGATATCCACGGTGTGCTACGTATCTTGCTAAAAGTGTGGAGGTCAAAAAATGGGCAAAGTATCATTTCCCCGGTGTAAGGTACAACATAGACACTTCTAATTGTGCAGAGTCTTTGAATGCGCTATTTGAAAAAGCACGAAAGATGTCTTTACTGCCTCTGCTCGATACAATTATTGACAAAATGGCTGAGTGGTTCAACAAACATAGGAACGAAGCAGCAGTCGGACCGTCATCTCGAAAATTGGTTCCATATGTGGAGAACAAAATGCATAAGATAGTACATAAAGGTGAAAAATTACAAGTGACTCCGCTGAACACTTTTGAGCTTGAATACAATGTTATTGGAAAAGACGAGAAGACTTATTTAATGAATTTGCATCATAAAACATGCAATTACAAGAAGTTTGATATAGATAAATACCCATGTGTCCATGCAGTAAGCACTGCCATTAAGTGTTTGAAGCATGATAGACCAATAATGTTGAGTGACATGTATGATGTAATCTCTCCTAATTACTTGATTAGAGTGTGTGCTTTGGCGTATCGAAGGACTATATATCTAATCCCTCATATGTCTGATTGGATCACTCTAAAAGAAGTCGAGGAAAATTGTCCCTTACCTCCAGAGTACAAAAAAGGAAAAACTCAGGTAAAAAAGTTTCCTCCGGCAAGAGAATGTCGTCCTCGTCCTAATAAATATGTCTCAAATAGGAATTTGGGTCGTTGGTTCAACTGCTCGCAAGGAACTGAAAGATCTCAAGGAACACAAGAAACACAAGGAACACATGGGAAATCTGATAGGGAAGGAGTTGATTGTAAAACGTGGTGAAACTTTCGTTATATGATTGTAAAACTTTGTGAAACCTGCGTTATATGATTGTAGAACTTTGTGAGACCTGCGTTATATGATTGTACAACTTTGTGGAACTTCCGTTATATTATTGTCTTTCGATCACATTACATGCACTTTAGATCACGTTAGCTACACTTTAGATCACGTTGGCTGCACTTTAAATCACGTTAACTGGAAATTTTTAATATCCGAATCACATTTTCTAATAATCGAGGAGGAAATGCATTGTTATGATATAGTTTTCCCTAGACGTCACATTGTGAGATTAGAAAAGTTATATATGTCATGAAATCAAATAAATTTTCACATGAAGACATCAAAAATGCATACAGAAAACAGAATATAACTGGTATAACCAAAACTTTAATCATCTAAGTACAGTAAAACTAAAACAATCAGAAATAACAAAAAAGTGAAACTTTAAAGGTTTTTGTATAACTACAAACTATGTGAAACTCCAAGCACGAAAAACCTTTAAAACTTTTTCCCGCCCGTTTTTTGAATTTTCCCACCCATTTTTTTCGAATTTTCACTCTCCCCCAAATCGATGCAGAATCGATGTATATGTGTATTGAACCCATTGTTTTTTGTTTCCCTCATTTATGTCAACCGAATCCCTCTCTTCACTATTCAGTGTCTCTCCTCTACATTTCTCTGTGGAGCAACCGAATTTCTCTTCGAACCCTCTCTTCGCGATCTTTCTTCTTGCTTCCTAAATCATGACTCATCCATACGAGGAGTACATGCATATGAAGGCTTTGAAGGAGTACAACGACATGCTTGGATTTGTGGCGGATGCCCAGTGTGGGATTCTGACCAGATGTCCTTGTGGGGGGGAGTATCATCAACGAGGTGTGTCGAGAGCCAAAGTATCAAACCGATGTTGACACTTTACCAGGAAGAAAATACTTCACTTGCAAAAACTCCGAGGTAATTTTTATGATACTTCCTGGTTTTATGTGCAGATTTTTGATACTTTCTTGTTTTATGTGTAGAACGATGACCTCCATTTCCGTCAACCATGGGTCTTCGGTGTCCAGGAAGAGGTTGAAAGGTTAAGGGACCGTGTGGAGGTCATCACTGCAGAGATTTCTGAACTCAAGTATAAGCTATCCCGTCATAAACCTGCCAGTCATTGACATGCGTCCAGTACATTACTTACAAGACTTTTCTTATGTTGTTGTCCTTGTGTAATAACTTTGTTGTTTGCTTATGGATGATGCTCATATCTCTTATTTGCTCTTTCACGAACTTTAGTTTCTATAAGTTAGACAAAGATGACAATGAAACTTTTACAAGCTTCCCTTATTTTCTCTTTCGCGAACTAAGATGACAGTGAAACTTTCAAAAGTTTCCCTTATTTTCTCTTTCATGAACTTTAGTTTCACGAAGTTAGACTAAGATGACAGTGAAACTTTTCAAAAGTTTCTCTTATTTGCTCTTTCACGAACTTTAGTTTCACGAAGTTAGACTAAGATGACAATGAAACTTTAACACCCACTCTAAACATTATTTGGCAACAACAAACCAGAAAGTCTCAAACAACATAAGTCTTCAACTTGAAATAGGAAAGTCATACAAGAATTCAAGGAAGTCAAACCAAATAGAGTTAATACAAACCACATACAGATTCCACACCGTCTTCCTACCTCCCTTCTTTGGCTTCTGCTTCTTTCAACCTATCTTCTTCTTGGCTGCCTGTGCGAACCAAAATTCACACCGTCGGTTTCCGTGAATAAAGGAACTTAGGGAAAACCCTAATTTCCCAGTGGTCTCGGCTATCTGTTTAACCACACTCAAGCAATCAAAATACGATAAAGATGATAAAATAAAACAAGAATTGAAAAGAGAGCAAAGAGGTTTCTTATTCCGATTTTGCGTGAGAACGGTACAACGAGGTTAGCCTTGGCTACAAGAGCTGACGGAAAGTTTCCTAGTTCTAGCAACCTAAGACTAAAACCCTAGTTGAGGCTCAGCTCGATAACAAAAACGAAATTGCCTAAATGCTAAGTTTATGTGTGATGTGAGCTCTGAAAATCGTCCTCTTTTCCTCGACCTTCTGCTTATATACTCCTTCTCTAGGCGGATAGTCTTTCCTTTTCTGCTCCGGTTCGCGCTTATCGAAAATCTTTCATTTTCTCGATCTTTCCATTTTTCTTTGGAAAACTTCTATTTTATTTTCAAACTTGACGTTTTCCCACTTATGCGAGTAATGAGTAAACCGTCATTGTATCTTTGGGCTGAATCTCGTCTAAAGTCTTGAGTAGACTTTTATCGCGTTTTAGGTCTTTCCGAGCCGTTCAGCGATTTAGCCGTTTTACGACTTTAAATGAGATTGTTTCCTGATACGATTTCGTTTTAATAAAACATATCGAGTTAATCGCAAAGTTTGGCAATATTCGGTGTTTCGTTTAACCGTTGCCATTTTGTACGATTTACTCGAGGTTTTCCGAGAAAACATGTCTTTTGTGGTTTTTTATAAAATATCTCGAGTTAATCGTAAAGTTTGGAAATGTTTGGTGTTTCGTTTAACCGTTGCCGTTTTTATGATTTACTCGAGGTTTTACAAGAAAACCGGGTTTTTTTACGGTTTTTGTCGTAAAACTCCAACAGTAAGACGGATCGAGATGAAACGAGGGATGTTACGATCACGGTTCATAGTACGATCGAATCAAGGAGCACGAATGGTTTATTTCAGCTTGCCAACAGGCGAGCTAGTCGAGCATGGCCAGCTCGCCTGTTGGCGAGCTGGACTGGACGAATCAGCTCGGCAACATGCGAGCTGGACTGGACGAATCAGCTCGGCAACAGGCGAGCTGGACTGGACGGTTCATCTTGCCAACAAGGGAGTTGGTCGGGGCTTGGCCAGCTCGCTTGTTGGCAAGCTGGTCGGTTGTTCGGTTCTTTGATCGTTTCTCGTTTTCCTTAATCACGGATCGTTTTATTCGATTTTCCGATGATCTCTAAGATTACGATTGTTAAGTTTGGGGAATTTCTTTGTTTGAAAAATCCTTAGATTTCTTCTTGACGCTTTTTCATATTTCTAAAACATGTTCTTAACTTTGCGAAAAGTTTTGGTTGTTGAATCTGTCGTAACCGATTTTGACCCCAACACTGCCTTCTTCTCAACTACCTCCTTCTTCTGCTTCTGGGCTGCCTCCCTCGATTGGCGTCTTGGTCCAATGGGACTCCTCACATTATTGCCCTTTGTCTTTTTCAAAGGAACTACTTCTTTTCCATCATATATTCTCGCCCTCTTCTTTTTCTTCTTCTCAATCTTTGCCTTCTCAGTCTTTCCCTTTTCATACATCTTACTCTCGAGCTGCGCTGCCGCTGCAGACATTTCTGCACTGTCATTCATTTTATCATCACTATTACCATGTTCACTCTGCACTTGGTTTGCAATAGCGAGAACATTATCATCCTTAGAACCTCCATCTTTATTTTTCTCTGATGGAATATCACCACCATCTTCCTCTGACGGAATATCATCACCATCTTTCTTCAATAGAGTAGCACCACCATATTCCTCCGATGGATTATCATCTTTATCTTTTTTCGATGAATTCTCACCACCTTCTTCCTCCGACTGAGTATCACTTTCTTCTTCCGACTGCAGTACACCAAGACTGGGTTCACTAACCCTAGCACTTTTCTCTTTGTTTTTGAGAAGAGTTACGTGGTTAGGCAATGAATTGAATTTTTTGTTCACTTCGTTCATACTATCTCGGATTGCATTCATAAGCCGACATTCCAGAGCCTTCACCGAATTTGCTTGAGGAAGACCATTTTCTGTATTTTTGGATGGTCCCCCAATAGCAAGAATAGTGGGACCTTCAATCTGAGTATTATGAGCCCCATAATCGATGAGGAACTGCTCTTCAAAGAAAACCTGTTTCTTCCTTTTTTGTATTATCTTGGTCCAACGATCAATTGCTTCATCATCATCGTCATCGGCCCAACAACTTTCCTTGCTCATCCCTATGCTTTCCAGAAGTTCCCTCTCATCCGCTGTTGCTACCAAGATACTCGTAATATCATGTGCCGTCAAATACACATAAAACATTAATTACCTTAGTTTCACCAAAATTTCATTAGTCATTCTCCTTAATTCGACTACACATAAGACATGAATTACTTTAGTATCACCAAGTTTTCCATTCACTGCATTTAGACCAAATGCCTTTGTTCCACCTTTGCGTTTGTACTGAATCTTGCACATTCGTGGGCAACTAGGGCGTGCACCAGTCATAGTTTCTTGGAAATGGTTCCTCAAGCTTGGAATTTCCTCAAAGGCCAACAACTACGAACACACAACAAAAAAACATCAACATCAACTTAACAATAAGACAACTAAGTACAAGAGAGCTTAAAAATACCTCCAAAGGAATAGGAAAGCTTGTAAGGACTCAACTTATCGGCACAACCCCGTCGCTTTGCTCCAAGAAACTAGAGACATTCTTCAAGTTATGTTTGAATGCATACCGCCCCCTAGGGAAACTTAAACACACATCTAGGTCATCAACAACAGTCTGGAAGAAACTATCCATAGGTGATGCTCCCTCTCCAGTCTTTCGGCCTCCGACGAGGATGCTGGCTAAGAAGTACAGATCAACCATCTTTAGACGATTCTGAGATGGCTTTGATTTCATTGCCAACATCTGCTTCTCCAGTTCAGCGTATGTAACCCTTTTCCCTTCAAAATACTTGTTCATGAATGTTGTACCACCAAACCTCTCATGGTTGAGGGGGATACTCATGGCAGTATAGTCCAGAAATTAGTCTGAATTCTTTGAGAGTATCGGATTGTGATGCCATTAACGATAAACCATAACTCATACTTCTTTGCTACATAAGCTGATCACAACACGAGAAGCCACATTCTCATCCACTTTCTGCTTTCTGTTTTTAATATGGAAGAAATGTTGGAACTATGGGTTCTCTAAGAACCAATCCACCTCCTTGTCTTTCATGATCGTTTGAATATTTCTTATAGCTGTGTCAATGTAATATTTTCCTGAAACCTCTAACGACTTTTGATACTGGCTTGAAGGAAAGTGTAACTTCATTGGTAGCATGCTTCTTTCTTCGTCATCTACAAGGTGCACTTAAGTTTCACAAACTTGGACTTAGTTAAGCAACCATAAAGTTTCACAAACTTGGACTTAGTTAAGCAACCATAAAGTTGAATTTTGTCTTGGTTTTACAAAGTTGGTACATCTATATTGTTGAAGTTCAACTTAGATTTAAAAATTTTTACATTACAAGTTAAGTTTGTTTCTCAATACCATAAATTACACTTAGTTTTCCACACTCATCCAATCTTTTAAATCATCTTTCGATTTTTTTTCAAAGTTCTACAAATGCCTTCAGTATTTGAATACTTACCTCTGCATGCGACTCAGTTTCATGTTCTCGTACTTATAATTTGGTCGCCCTTCCTTCAGATTCTTCGTCATTTCTTTAGGGTTGCATGTCATCTCCTTCTCTTCTTATCCGGGTTCCTTCACTTCTTCTCTGACTTCCTTCTCTTCGTCCCCACCATTCCTCTCTCCTTCTCTTTCGTTGTCTTCTCCTACTTCACATGATTCCTCCTCTTCCTCTTTCTCACTTGCATTTTTTTCGCTTTCATCTACATCTCGGAGACTTTGCTCGATTACCGGAATGAGTGATTTGTCGATGGTGTTTGGTTTTACTTCATCCCTACTATCTTCTTCAGATTCTGAAATCATAGCCGTTTCTTCTCCTCCTACACTACTCTAGCCGTCCTTTTCGCCTTCGGATCGTCTCCATTCAACATGATTTGGGTTTGGATTCTAGATTGAGTAGGGTTTTCAAATTTCAAGAGAGACGCGAACATACGACACATGGAGAACCGTATTTCATTTTTACAAGTTCATTTATTACTTTACGTTTCAACCTCAGTTTTCAACTAATAAGAGGAAGCGTATTCGGGATTTCAATTTCTGCAAGTGGGTATCCAATTTCAACACAAAACATACAAACATGTAAGGATCAAAGAAGAACACACCACTTTGGTACATAGAGTAACAAAAGCTAAGGAATTGGCTTATTGATTACATAACATCATCAAAGAAACGTTTCACACATCCATGACCACCTTCAGGTCTAAGAAAGCCATGTCATTTCCCTTGTTCAAGGCTCAACATCTGATTATAAAACCCACTCCTTCCTAACCAACCATGTGACTTCCTTCCTCCCTTGAACCCAACTGCAGCATCATCAGCCGTTCTCCTCCGCCTAAGTTCTCCTCCGCCTAAGCCACCGTATGAATTTCAGATTTGCGTTAATTAGTAACCAAAATTTAACCATTGTAGTATTCCAATTAGCAATATGAAAGATCCAAAGAGCTCAGAGAAAACAAAAGCTTTAGACTTTAACAAAGAGAAACACAATTACGAAGGAGAAGTAAGAGAAAGGTACCTTCTTTCTGGGCATTTGAGAAAGAAGACATGATAATCTAGGGTTTCAGGTTGACCTTTTTCTTGAACTTTAATCTGAGGATTATAAATCACATTGGCTTGGAAATCGAGCAGAGGGAAGACGGACCGTGCAGTAGCACGAGATGGAGACTCCATCGCCGCTATTAACATCTGACGGCGTTAAAATCTTTGTGAAGGTAACCAGCTTGTTGTTCCCCTCTTCATCACTACCAAATCTATAAAAATCGGAGGGAGTAAAGTGCCCAGGAACCATCGGTGGAGGGGTTACGATGAGAAGAGCCGAAGGTGGAGGAGAGGGAAAGAGGCATGAAATTAGTGGTGTACAAGGATATAGTGGAGTCACATGAGGCGGATGACGAAGAAGAGGAAAAACAAAGTGTACAGATAAGAGAGAAACGAGGGAGAAACTGAAAAGGGAGAAGCTTGCTTTTGTAGAAGAGTTCATCGGTAGGACAAAGAGCTTTTCCGTTTCTGCTTTCTCTTAAGACTTTTACCAGATCTATAAAAGAGATAGAGAGAGGAGAAGCTTCCACCGAGAGAGATGCTGATTTAGTTGTGGAGTGATAAAAATAGTTAGAAGGGTTGAAAAGACAAACACCACAATAAATGTGTGTCTCAGGCAACATGTGCCTTTTTGTGTAATTAGAAAGTTAGAATGTGTTCTTAAGTGTAATTTTCTCGTTTGTTAATTACTTAGTTATGGTTATTATCTTCACTAAGGTCTTTTGTTAGTTTTGTGTTAAGAATCCTTGAAAGGCAAGAGCATCATTATCGGATGGTTTCTCTATCTAAGTCTTTGACAAATATTACATTAGTATTTAAATATAATTATTTTATATAATCAAATTTAAATGATAAAAAGTTCTCCTACAAACTATAAATTTGATTTTTTGAGTTATAACAAATTTTATTGAGAAAATATAACAAATGGTTACTATAATAAACTTTATTTTCTGCAGCGATTCGCTCACTCAAGCGTAGGAAGAAGAAGACTTAATTTGATTCTAATAAAACGGTAAAGAGGCTTAATTTGATTTCAAGTTCTCAGAGACCACAAGGAGCACTAAGTTTGTGATGCTTTTTTGGTGAGCAGGTGATTCACATAGATCATTGGATTCTGAGAGCATCTTCAAGAGGTCCTCAAATCTTCAAATTTAAAATTTTTGATTTTCCAAGAGAATCTCAAATTCTCGAATTTTGGAGACATGAACAGTAGACCCTCAAATTTGAAGATTCATTTTTCATGCTTTCAGTTATTTTATAATTTAGTCTTTAGAATTTTGTAACTTACATATATTTATACTTGTATTAATTTTTTATCACTTTACTTCTTATTACTCTATTTTATAACTATACTAGGGGTTGGCCGGCGCTACGCGCCGGTTTTTCTAATATTGATATGATTTAATTATGATTTTATAATTTAGAACATTTTTTAACAGTATTTTAGAAAACAAAATATGTATCAGTTATATAGAGATATATTAATTTGGTTCTAGTCTCTACATATTAATTATATAAGAAATCTAAGTTTAAATATATTATGACAATTTTAAAATGTAATCTCTGAATTGTTTGTTATCTTTCATTTGTGTAAAGTGTTTACTTTTGTAGGTTTAAAGATTAGGTTAATTTATAGGTATAAAATAATAGGTTGTGAAATCTATATTATAATAGTAGACTTTCTAGGCTCCACAACGCGCCACGTCAGCAGTTTGGTGAGTTCTGTAGGTATTTTTAAAAAACCCATAGTCTTGATAAGATGATTATGAACAATGAAATACACTTTAGCCAAGTGGTATAAGGTGTCTAATTAAGTATGCAAGATCATGGGTTCAAACCACGCATCTAATATGTATTTTGATTTTTTGATTTATGTTATTATCCTATGGGCTTTTTGTTTATAAAGTTTTTATGTTTTTCTGGGCTTATTGTTTTAAAGATCAAAATAGTTGGATAAACCCTAAAGTTTAACAAATTCAAACAAAAAAATAGTTAAAAATGGATAAAAAAAAAAATAAAAAAAAACAAGTCTCATGTGGTTGCCTACGCAGATGGCTTAAAGAACCTTAAAACTAGCCTATTATAATATAATTGAACCCAAAAATAATAAAAAAATGGATCCAAAAACGAACAGAACAACAAAAAAAGTGAGTCTCACGCAGCTGCCTACGTGGATGGCTTAGTGAAGCTTGAATAATATAGATTAAGAACTCAAAAAGTTTAATCCTTGCACATATTTCCTAATATATTTATTTTTCAAAAAATTGTATGTGAG